GAGAGAGAGAGAGAGAGAGAGAGAGAGAGAGAGAGAGAGAGAGAGAGAGAGAGAGAGACCAAAGGGTCCCCTTCACGTCAATTCAAGGGGCCCTGCAGGTACCTCGAATGGCTCCTACAGTACATGTGGAGTTATTGAGGACCACTGCTTCAACGAGAAGGATGGCCACGTCATATGTGGAAGAGGTGGGAGCAGAGCACGAATATATGCTGTGGGTTCGAGTTCAGGGCTGTAGCTCGGCAGTTATGGGTCAACAATTCAGCTAGACCCTGTTCTTGTCTCCACGTGATCATCAGGGCCTCTCTCCACCGCTCACCAAATGTATATAACATTAGTAGAACGAATCTTCTGCTAAAACATGGAACCATACACCGCCATATGCTATGTCTTTTGTGCATGTGGTGAGTAGCGGCGCAGGCCCCGCTGTACGTATTCATAAGAAAACAGAAACAAAAAAACGAGAGAGCTACAGACATCTTCATCCTAAGTTCCTAACCCATAACTGCCGACATGCAGACCTGAATGCCAATCTTCAGCATATATTGGTGGTCTGCTGGCCGTGCCAAACACATCTTGTAACTTCTGCAAAGCTTTGTGGGGCAGGTGGCTATTGGGCAACTACCCCCTTCTTGCAAATTTCCCCACCACTGTGTGGGATTTGCAGAAGGGAGGGGGAAGGCCAGTTTCCACACCCATCCTAAAAAAAAAGTTGGAATGAGTCCTATTTTAGTATTTTCATGATTCGCCATTTTGAAACTTTTGGGGGAAGGGCCTGCGGAAATCGAAATTCTGCAGCTCTTGCCCAAACAAAAATCTTGGGCCAGGGCTGCGGCCGGTTTCTGAACTTGCGCGGTGAGTTGAACATTTTTGCCTAGTTGGGGGCCCTAAGGAATTACAAAACCCCAACTTTTTACTTTTTGAAAGTTTTTTTTTTGGACCTAATTTTTCCAGTGCGGTGCGTTTTGGTGCGCTGCGCAACGCGTGTGCAAATCTGCGCACCGAGGTGCGCCACAACTATGGTCAACACCTTTCAAGAGCAATTGTGAGTCCCAAAAGCCAGAAACCGCAATTTGCATGTGTGGAATGCAAAGTGTTTGAATCCGCAAATCAACCGTAAAATGTGATAAGGAGGCAAAGCAGTAGGAACAGCTTTGCTCCTGGGAAACGGCAGCCAGGACCTTGAAAAGAATCGGCAATCGCCTTCTTCTGCTTCTTCTAATCTATGACAGAGGACACCATGTGGCCGTATGCTTTGCAATCTAGGGCCTGTATGAAATGAATGAATGAGATGCATTATACTTGATGGCCGGGATTGGCGCTTGGAAAGGCAGTGTGAGGATACAGTTAGACCTGAATGTACTGAGAAGCAAATGTGTGCTGGGCCGCTGGCCCTGCTGGGCCATTGATGAACATTTGATGGCTGATCCCACAGCCTGGGGGAAACCTGGCGGAGTGACTGGTTGCTTCTCAGGGTATGCTGGGGCTTGAGAGGCCCATAATCAAAGCGTGCCTGGCCCTCAATCAACTTTTGAATCACCACTGTTGCCAAGCCTCTTAGTTCATGCCTTGGGGAAAGTCTGTCTGGCTTTTTGGAACGTGGCGTTATGATTGGTCGCTTTCTCCGGGTATACTGCGGCTTGAGAGACCCATATTAGCAAAGCAGTTCTCGAAGCAAATGTGTGCTGGGCCCTCAATGAACTTCTAAATGACCAGTATTGCAGAGCCTCTTTTTGCCAATGTTCGATTTCGCCAGTGCCTGAAATTCTGAACAGTCACGGGCAAGGAACTATTGGGTGCCGCTAGCCTTTTTGGTGTGGTAGGCTGGGCCTTTCTGTGGCGGCACATTAAGTGGAGGGTGTGGGAGGTCAAGGGTGCAGATTCTGCAGAATAGTGGTGGTTTAAACCACCAGTATGTTGCCCAGCCATTATTTGTGCTGATGCAGCCGGTAACATGGGATATCCTTCGGGGCTCAGGCTACCGAACGGAAAAGGCTGGCGACGTCGGGCAAAAAGATTTGACTTTGCACCTGTGCTGATTCGACGGCGTGCCAAAAATCGGCATTGGAAAAAGAGGCTCGGATGTACTGGGGGTTCAATGGCTGGGTTTGTGCATGCCGGAAACCGTTCTGTCTTTTGGAGATCTAGGGAGTGACAGTGTGCTTCTGTTTCTCAGTGTGTGCTCCCTGTTGTCCTTCAGGAACAATGGGGAAGTGGGCCTGCAGGTGGTTTCAGAAACCAAGTCATTTGGTGGTAGGGAAGACTGAGCTGTGATTTGCAGAGCCAGAGTGGTGATATTGGTGGAAATTGTGTAGCAGTTGCAATTGAGACCGACTGGTGTATGTTTCTTGTCTTGCTGTTTCAGGACCGATAGGACCTCCTGAGGCCTTGTACATTGATTGTGGGAGTAACAAGTCATCCAATGACTCACAGGGGCGGAATTGGTTGAGCGACAAACCATTCATGAATGGGTTCAAGACAGCACTTCCAGCGGATGTTAGGCCAAGCGACACTTTGTCAGTTGATATACCAGAAGCTATTGTGAAAACCACCCGCTTTTTCGATGACTTGGGCGATACCATGCCTGGTGATCACTGCAGCATTCCTGTGGCAGATAATGAAGCATACTGGATTCGTTTCACGTTTCCGTTTTACAGTTCGAGACAACAGGGTTCAAATTCAGACTCAGTCTTTGATGTTTGGCTCTATCAGGCTGTCCGCATTGCTACTGTGAACTACAGCGAATCTGGGCGTGGAGAACTCCCATTCGGCACTTATGATATCCTAAGTCTTGAGATTGGTCTTATTCCACCTTCCGTCCAATTGAATTTCTCATTTGTTAAGCGAAGTGGTGAGGGTGTGCACGTGAGCTCGATAGAGATTCTGAAGCTTGTGAATCCTGAAAGCTCAGGAATGTTTTCAAACAACTTTTTGCCACTTCGGCTCCCTGGTCCAACAGTGCTTAGGCTGGAACAGCGGATTAACTGCGGAGGGCCTCATGTGAATGGTTCTCTGGCGTTGCCTTATGCATACGATGAAGACCGGTTTTATAACATTTCGGAGAAGTCCATTGCCGTGATTGGTAATATCACAGACAACAGAGCCTCAAGAGTTAGTGCGCCAAGTGACATTTTGAAGTCCCAGCGAATGGCAGCTGAAGGAGCTAATTTGACCTACAGTATTCCTGTGACATCTGGGGTGAAGTTTGTGATCAATGCTTTTTGGTATGAGCTGAATAAAACGTTGGAGAAGAGTGGACGGCAATTTAAGATTTTCGTTGACAATTTCGACGCAACCCTTGAGAAAGATGGAAAAGGGCGGGAAGGCGTCACAACAAATGACGTTTTTGGGACAGATCTTTATTCAGGTGGTGATGGAGGGCGTATTTTGATCCAGTTGGTGCCTATGCCTGATCAGGGAAATTTGCCACCAATTATCAGCGGGCTGGAAGTCTATTCGCTTATCAATTTGGCTGGCCGGACATTTCCTCAGGACGGTGAGTGACTTCATCCAGAGCCCACAATCCCTCACGTTTTGTTTTGTCTCTGAAGTCCCTCAAGTTTGTTACATTCTCCTCTTTTTCACTTTTTTTTTTGTTTTGTTTTTTGTTTTTGTATGGCCTTCCCGTGACATTTCCTCAGTTCCAATTGTGCTGCTTTTGTGGTTAGTAAACTAGAAAAAAAGCCTGGTCAGGGTGGTGAACAGTGGGGACAATTGTGGAGGCTGGATGCTGTGCAATAACTCAGCTCAAATCTGCATGGCCGAGGGCTAAGGGTCGTCACTTTTGGCCAAAGGCCAGAAATAAGGGTCAAAAGTCACGTCCCATGTCTGTGAAATGTCTGAGAAAGTGCCTAAGGTCGAGGGGTACCAGGGTCTGTGTCAAAGGCTGTCTCCAGTACCCCAACATGAGGCAGTTGACTCTTGGAAAATAAATAGTCAACCTCAGCACGGGATTCCAGACCCGAAGTCAAAGTCAAATCGCTGGTCATCCACGACCGTCGATCAGGTGCACATCATTGGTTGTCTGCAGGTATCCAGAAGAATCTGGTGCAAGTGGGACACGTGGGAAATCTGCAACTTCGCTGCATCCAGGCCATTGGCTTCCGATTCATCTGGGCCGTCGACCCAAGGAGACCAGAGGCTGGTCAACGTGAGTCAACACTATAAAGTTGACCCAGCCCCTGTGTGGAGATCATTCTGCCTTGCGCTGGCTTGATGCTAGCACGAGATCGTGAGGCTGCAGGGAGTTTATGTTGGTGCCAGTGCTGCTGGGTGGGTGCCAACATCAGGGGAGATTCTGCTGGAGCGTCCATTGCCGTCATAGCTATAGACATTGAGTATAGGCTGGGCGAGTAGTAGTATCAGGGCTGTGAGACTGTGAGCGGATGAGGGGAGGCTTACCTTGACTTACCTGGCGAGGTCGTGAGTGATCTTCTGCTCGTCTCCACGAAGGTGAGGACAACCTGTGCCCTGCTGTGACCTGCACACTGTAACTGTCAGAGGACGTCAGAGGACAGAACTGCATTGCTGAGGTGGCGACAGGGGGAAGATACTGCCCGAGAAGGAAGTGGGCTAGAAGAGGCTTCATGCATGAGTGACAGGGACTCTTCTTCTCCTCCTCCTCCTCTCTGTCTATTCTCCCCACTACCTCTTCTCTTCTCTGAGGTTACAATCTTCTTGGGATGTGCATGCATGCTCGGCGTAAACGATGTTGGAGACGTTATTTGTCAGCTGGGTTCAGACTTGTATCACAACACTGATTGGCTTCTCATCACGATTGGGTTCATTGCAGCTGCATATGTTCTTTTAAATCATTACTGTGGCCTGTATGAGCTTTGTCTTGGTTGTTCCCAACATAGTCTTCCAAACCCCATCTACTCTTTTCGTTTTCTTTTTTTTTTTTACTGGTTCTTTCTCATCACTCTTTCCAACCCAAGACTCTTTTGACGCCCCCTCCACTCTTTTCAAGCACACCTATCGGTCATTCTCCACATGAGGGGGCTGTTGCCGTGCCCAGGTGCTGTTATTCCTTCCTTCTGATGGAGATGATTGGTCTTAGGCATTGTGGAGACGTATGCGAATCAAAGATACAGTCTGGGATGCAGGATACTCGCCCCGACTGTCCAAATACTGGTGCCGGGATGCCTGGTCCGTATTAATGGAAGCAATAGGTAGACTTTTTCTTTCTGTCATCGAGACAGCCGAACTGGTGTCCAGACGATCAGTTCGGGGTTCAGGACGCAGACTCCGAATACGCATGTGTTTCAGAACTTTTTCCAAAAGGGGTAAGTACGTTCATGTCACCTTTGAGTATCGAATGGGCAGAAAAAACATGCGTCGGCAAGGAAAACCGCGTCGAGTTCGAAAAGGCAACGGAAGTACCGACTGCCGTGGTGTCTGACCGACTGTCATATTTACAGGGGTCGGCCTTGGTGTCAGAGGGGAAAACAAAACAAAAAAGAAAATGCCCAATGAATACTTTTGGACCGCAATCGCTCATTTCGAGTTGGCGCGTGGTTTCTTTGTTGGCACGAGTATTTTTTGCCTTTAGGGCTTCAAAACATGCTGCTTCCGCCATTATTTCTTTCCAAAATTGTGGTTTTGCTCAAATTCCAAGATTTGAAAAACTTGTGCAGCCTTGCAATAGAAACAAGTTGAACAAAATTTAGGGTGAGGGCAATTTCGAAATCCAGAAGCAAGAAAAAAGAGATCCATGAATAAAAGTCCACGACTGAGTTTGGGAAGAAAAAATAAAACAAAAATATGACACTACGAATAGTTTTTTTCTTTTTTTTAAACGCCCAGGTTGTTGAAGAGGCAGGGTATCAGGCGTGGGGATACTCTCCAGGGTTCAGTCACTCAAAGTTCGGAATGACCCACTTGGCCCTCTGGACCTTCCTAGATGGAGTCCTCCACGACCTTAGAGCCCTTCCTATCGCAAGTCGTGTCCTTTCCACACCACACAGCTTGCCATCAGAGATCAGATTGTTTCCTGACAGATCCAACCTCAACGGGATGTACTGAGGTGGCCCCATTTACCTGGTCAGATCTGGACATACGGACCTGGTGCGGACCATCTGATGTCTGGAGCTGGGCCCACGGTAGCCTCACAAATTTCAAATTGAAAAACAGAATCAGAAAGATCTTGAATGAAAAATGCGTTGGGTAGGGGATTGTGGTACACATAACATCTTTTTCTTTCGCTTAAATTTTCTCGTGCACCTGCTGGGAACTGGGCCCAGCATCCGTCCAGACATAAGAAATGTTCGAACTTCTGATGTGTGCTCCCTGCTTCAAAACGATACAGCCTTTGGACTCACTATACCGGTCATCGCTAGTCGCCGGACTCTCCCTCGAATCCTAGCTGTCTGTCTTGATCCGTTGATTGCTCCCTACAGGAGGACAGAATATCTCGCCATCTCTCTCTCTCTCACACACGCACACATGATACATGATCAGTTCAGCAATGTATATGGAGCCAACGATCCGAAAAGTGATGAAGAGGACTCGAATGGACAATGCAGCGTTAGCAAAGCATCACAAGCAATTTACATCCAGATACATACGAAAATAGCACAATGTAGCACAGCGGGAGACTCAAGGATATGACCTGACCTGTCAGCTACTGATGCAACATCCCATCATACACTACACATGTGAGAGAGGGAGGAGGGACCGCATACATGGAAGAAAGGTCCCTCCTTGCACACACACATGGGGGAGATACCACGGATGAAGAGATAGGGAAGAGGCAAGACGAAGGTGGAGGTGAGGGAGAGGACCAAGGTTGCAATAGCGACGTCCAAAAAAATAGTCCAATCAATGTCTGCCACAAAAATGTTGAATCAGAACCTGGGCCTCATGTCCGATGTAACCTCTGCCTGTAACCTCTCCCTCTCTCTCTCTCTCTCTCTCTCTCTCTCTCTCTCTCTCTCTCTCTCTCTCTCTCTCTCTCTCTCTCTCTCTCTAAGAAGAAGAAGAAGAAGAGGAAGGAGGAGGAAGGAGGGAGAAGAGATGGAGGGTGAGACGACGAAGAAGAAAAAGAACAAGCCATTCGTGAAAAGTCGACATTTCGTGAAAACTGGACTGAGTCAAAAACTACGAGATTAATTTTCAAAAAACTATTTTTTTTTCATTTCTGGAACCCATGTTCCATTTGCAATCACCAAGTTTTTTGAGAAAACTAGTATTTCGGAAATCATAACAAAATGGAGTCAACAAGATAAACAGCAAAACTAATTTAGGGAGTACCTTAAGTCTAACGGTTTGTTTGATAGAAGAAAAAATATTTCTCAGGGAGTTGATGCACAAGTACACAAACAAAATCAAGCTTATGGCATTTTACAAGTATCGCCTTCAATCCCCCACCTTG